CCTCTATATATATATATATATATATATATATATATTATTCTTATTCCGATTTTTAGCTTCTCGCATGATTCCGGAAGAGACGTATGCGATATCGCGCGAGACGCCTCCTTAAGGACATCGCGCTTCGTTACGTCTGCAGATCGACAGCGGGTTGAGAGAAAGAACAGTGTGCAACTTTAATGAGAGGCAATCGCGCCTCGGTGATTTTCGACGAGGAATATTCAGGCTTGCCGGCACAATCTCCCGCGGTAAACTCTGCATTTAGAACGAAACAAAGTTCGTGTATGTACACGGGGCGCTGGGCAAACGCGTTTAATGGAAAATTTCGGCGCCGGAGCGCTCTCGGAATCTCCAAGGAAATATATCCAACGTCGTTTATATTATCGTTTACATCGGCTCTATCGGCGTTTTATTCTCGCCCGGCTCTCGTCCCGGCAGGGCTGACGGATTCCGCGACTCACCATCGGGGGCCTCCCCCTCGTTTAAATACCTATGATTTAATTCTATACACCGTTTCGCGCGTCACGGGGTATTACAAACCACTCAATACGGGATCGCGTCCCGTCGCGTCCCGTTATTACATCGGCATTACGGAAAAAAGTCGCGCGCGTCGCTTCCTCGTGTTCACCCCCTGCCCCCCCCCTCCCCCCTCGCCACCGTCACATCGTACGTGGCGGAGGCATTACGATCGAAAGATGTTTTGCGGTAATACCCCGTGCGGCATCTGCACGCAGTACGTCGCGTCGTCTGTCTTATGTACAATACGTTACGTACATACGTGGCAGCTGGGGGGGGATTTTTATGTACATGAGTAGACGAGTACATAAAAATATATACGTGGAATAAGAACAGAGCAGTTTAGGCGAGCGCGTGCAAAGGAGGAATGCTTGAGCGAATGCAGTGAGGTGCTGTGCTCTGTGCATAGGTAATTTCCGGGCACGTCTTCAGCACGCGCGGCGTCACACGCCCGCACGCGTATTACGTTGCGGAACGTTGCTCCGGAAATCGCGCGTTTTCTTTGTTTTGACCCCGGGCCGCGCACAGGCCGGACGTTCAAAGAGGAAACCGGCGCCTGTCTCTCGCGAAATATCGCTGTTAATTTGATTTTAAACAAGCGCGCATCATGCGCACGTGATACGATAATTTTATATTTGCGTTTCAACTTGCAAATATATTTTTCAGAAAAACATTTAACATTTTCGATATCAAATATCGGAAATTAAGTAAAAACAATCAAATGAAAAGCAAAATTTTTATCTGCACGATTTCCAGAGTGTTTTAGATATATATATATATATATATACATCACGTGTGTATACGTGCACAATGTACGCGCTGTATTACAAACAAAAAAATATATATTCTTTTTTTTACTGTATTACAAGTAAAAAAATATTTTTTACCGTAATATAAAACATATGTACATAGGAATAAAAAATATATATACATATGATAGCTTTTCTCGAAAAAGATTCCTCAATTTTGGAGAAACCTTTGAAAATCCAGGACGATGCGGAGCTGAAAACTGCACAGTGCCTCGCGTTTCGACAGAAACCTAAACAGTACACACTCTCCCATTTTCTCTCTTTTTTTACAGATTACGACGTAATTGCCCAGCGGTATAAAAATAAATGGCCAATCGAAACCGAAAAAGATTAACTGCGTTATATACCGTTATATACTCTCCAACGTAAAAAAAATAAAAAAAAATAAAATAAAATAGGATTTCGTCAAAAATATATTCCTTCGGTAACGCAAAACTCCCCGGCACTAATTTTCGTCCAGCTTGCGTCGGGTTCACACACAAGTTGTAACACGCACGCGATCGATAAATCGATGGGATCTTCGTGCGAAAAGCACCATGTATTCCGAGGGACGCGATGTGCAATGCGATAAACCGAAGACTCGGGTCGATGTTGTCCCGCACTAATTAATCCTGCCCAACGTCAAACAACGCACCATATAGAGTTTGCTTGATGAACCTAATAGAAACATTATGTAAAGATAAATTCGGGAACGCGCGTCAAACGTGCATGCCGCGCACGTTTATGTATAAACGGGCTGCAATTAATACAGTTGGATGGTGGGACGGGCAATGGATAGTTAATACGTTTCCACAAAGGGAGAATACATATTAACGTGTGCTTGTGATATCCATAATCGCGCGCCGATATATCGCGGGAGCAAATTGGAAAAGGCGGCCGAACACGACCGAGATTTCGCGGGCCTAATTTTTTTGTTAAATCTTCACATCTAACTGCTGGACTTTTCGCCGTTGGCTCTCTCTAGAACCTTAAACAAAATATATGTACTCTTACAAAATTTCTGTTACATTTTTGCTTGAATGTTGTTAAAACAATGCACTTACGTACGTGTCGTACAAAAATTGCGCTAAACATAGAAGAATGCTTAAACATAAGAATGCGTCGTATTAGAGAAAATTATTATCGTGAGAAAATTTGTTATTTCGATAAAAAAATTGTGTGGAAGAACCTCTTGTCCTCCTATTTAGGACGATTTAAAGGGAAGAGATCGTTTCGTTCGGCGGAGCACGCGCGCAATCTCTTCATTTTCGAATGCAAATTTTACGAACCCTTAAAATTCCGGGTGCTCAATATCGCGGCAAATTATGCAGAGACTCTAGTCTACGTTTGCTTACCTAGAACACGTACTTCGACCGAGCGATGCGACGTGTAATTATGTTTGTTTCTGGCAGTGCATGTATACGTGCCTTCGTCGGCACTGCGTTGCACGGTATCGATGAACAGGGTGCCGTTGGCGACTCTCTGTCTCATATTGGTAGGCAGTTTTACGTCCCCTGATAACAACGTGCAGGCGTCGATTAAACGGGGGCTCTCCTCGCGTTCGAGAAATATTTCGAATATCCGATAACGGTACGCGGCCCCAAGGAGATATTTCGCATTTTCAACGGGAGAGTCGGGAGGAGTTAAGTTGAACAAACTGATTTCCAGACGGGTTAAAGTAGATCCAATAAGGCTCGCGCGTTCGCGTGCTCGTTGCAAGAATGCGGACGGGAATTATCAATCAATGCGGAAGATCAACACGCGGATTTTAAGGGTGTCTCCCGTGCCGCAAGCACGGAGAAATATTGAATGAACGAGCGCGCGAAGCTCCCCGTTATTCGGTCGGAGGATTAACAGAAATGACGCACGATGCTTACCTTTCTCCCACACTATCGATTCAATGGGATAACCGGCTACAGGACACTTGATATATAGTTGCTTCCCCGCGACCGCTGAAACGGGCGACATCGGTCTGACGTATGGCAGTCCTGAGATTAGAAAGCAGTAAAGCTCGTTACGCTGCAGCCGCGCGAAACGGCATGAAGTTATAAATTTCCAGCAGGAAATCTAGTCTCCCTCTCCCTCTCCCTCTCCGTCTCCCTTTCTCCCGCTCGGCTCCAAAGAGAGGAGAAGCCGCGGGCGGGAGATGAAAAATATATAAAACAAATTTTTAATATCGCCCGCGTTGTAGGGTGAATTTCATCGAACGCGGAATTTGATATTATCTCATTATTGGAGAGGGGAGGGGAGGGGAGGGAGAAACAACTTTGATAGATAAGCGATATCGATTTTTCAATCGCGCCAATTTTTCTCCCCCCGCCGTGTCTGTAATTGCGAAAAACCCGCGTTATTTCACTCGCTGATTTTTGGACCCCTTCCCGCTGACTCACCGTAGATATTGAGCCTCGCCGAGTGCCTCGCCTCGCCGGCGCGGCTGCTGGCGATGCACTCGTACTCGCCGCCGTCTTCGGGCTTCACGCTCGTGATATTAACGTGGGATATTACGTCCCCGTACACGGTCACGTATTGGCCAATCAGGAGCCTGTCGTTTTGTGGAAGCGGAAATCCATCTAGCAGCCAGGAAATTTGCGGCGTGGGATTACCCGCGGCGCTGCATTTCAGAGAAACCGATGGACCGGGCTGCATTGTCTGTTCGATAAACCTGTAGACCAGCTGCGGCGCGATCTCTGTTAACAAAACGTTACGGGGCGAGATTACGCATACCCCAAAGTTTCAAATGCTACCCTTATCCCTCCCCTCCGCCGCCTCTTTCCGTATCTAACCCGCCCCGTTGCCGCTCTATAGATCCGTAAATTTCTGTTTATTTTTTTTCACGTTCCCCTCTCCTCCCTCCTTTCATTCACGGACGTCCAAATCGATT